GATCTGAATCTTTGGGGCCCCAGCCGGTGACAGGAAATGTGGGTGACAATTCACCATAGGTCCTAACCTTCCCCGAGGTCTGGTAATAGAGCGCCTTTAGGAGTGAGACATACTTCTCGGGTACTCCGTATCTCCGTAGACAGTTCCATAGTGCGGGGCGATCGATAGAGTCGAAAGCCGCTGTCTAAAAACACGACAATGGTTTGTCGCCCGAGTGTGTGGCGGTGTCCTAGTAGCTGACGGAAGGTGAAGATTTGATCTATGCATCCACGGCGTGCACGAAACCCGGCCTGCTCCTCGCGGATTTGCTTCTCACGGAGTGGGCATAATCTGCGTAATAAAACGATAGCAGCTTCGGCGCTATCGGAATCAGACTTATGCCCCTGTGGTTGGAACAGGCGTTGCGACAGCCCTTCTTGTAGATGGGTGTGACAATCAATTCTCCCCATATGTGGGGTACACTTTCAGTTTCCCAGGTATTCGAGAAGTCTCACAAGTTCGTTTACGAGAGCATCTCCACCATCTTTAAAGAGAGCAGGTAGCGGGCCGTCTGGTCCAGCTGCCTTGTGGCGTTTCAGGGCTTGGAGTTCCTTTCGAAGCTTCGCCTCTGTGAGTGGTCCCGAGGGTAGTGGCCAGGGTGCACTTTCAAGAGAGCTGCTTGGGGGAGCCAGCGCGGGGGCTGGTTAAACTGCGATGTGAAGTGCTCCGCCCAGCGTTCCAATCGTCGGTAAAGGCTGTTTATTAAAGTGCCGTCTACTTCGCAGATTATTTCACTAACGCACTGTCTTTTGGGGCCTGTGGCACGGGTGAGCTGAAATAGCTGCCGGGTGTTTCCACACCTAGCCGCTGATTCTATCTCCTTCGCACGTAGCGTCCACCAGGCCTCTCTGTTGTCTCTCAAACTCTTTGTGAGTTTACGCTTCAAGGAGAGACGCTGTTCATTGTACTCGTGGTCTGCCGGGATTGCCCGACGCGAGTCGAGGAGTCTGAGAGAGTTGGACGTATATCTGTAATTTTTTGTTCCATACAAATACAACAAAAAATTACAGATATACTGACCTAATGTTGTGAAACGCCACACCACTTCTCACATCCTCCCTGTACAAATCACCCACTTCAAACTTTTACCAACTGACAGTCTACTATTTGAACATAACAGTATTATACGATATACCAAGGTTAGTAGATGNGCAATGCTTTGCTTCAGAACGTGAGTGTTCGTATCATAATGGTTATATTCTAAAGTTTGCGTAATTTGTCAGTTTCAGTGACATGGGCGGGCTTCAGTACGACCGTCAGGGCGTCACGTTACAACTGCCTTCCTTCAGTTTTCTTCAAAGATGATGGGATAAAGCTTATAAGAGGATTGCCGGCACTGTTCTCGAAGGTTTCTTACTCTGAACAGATCACCTCATAATAGGCAAACTGACTGACGTCCCGGTTTTCCTAAGGTACCGCATACCAATCGCACGAGGCGCACGAAGAGCACATCCGCAAGCTAGCTTCTACCCCCGTCGTTGTTGCAGCGAGCAAATGAACAGCCTTTGACAATTTTTAAGCCATCATCATGCTTACTGCCGATTGTGGTATGTCAAGACATTTCGATTTTAGCCAAGCACTGTAACCACTGCCAAGTGGGTACTGCACTCTCAGTGGATGACCAAGACAGTACCGGGACGTCCAAGGAAAAAGATTAACTTTTCTCATATTTGCACTGAAACATTCCATTTTACAGTCAACATCATCCAATCCAGCAAAAGAATGAGAGACAGCATATGAAATGTGCTAGAACAAAAGGCAAAAACATTCAAAAATTGGGGCTGAGTATTAATTCATATATACTTTCCCCAATGCTTAGGGGAACGAAGAATTAGACATTTCAAGTCTAGGTAGTACAATGAACCTTAGACATTGCAGGACTGATATATCGGCTTTCATAATTGTTCGCAACATATATATACCTATCCCTTGCGAGCAAGCTTGGTGCCAAAGCATCGAGAATAAGTCTATGGGATGACAGTAACCCCAAGGGTTTTGTCAGCTAGCCCTTACTCAACGCAGCCTACGAAAGCCTCAGCATGGTCGGTGTGGGTGTTTCGGGTAGTGGCTGGTTACTCTTCCCTTGCACCTCGTAAAATGCTCCCATACAACCACCCGTCTCAAACAGCCGCCTCTGGGGAAGCCAACCCACTACCTTCTTGTGACAGTGTTTCACCACCAAAGTGAGAGGACGAAAGGCCAGCATGCAGATCGGCGAAACACTGGTATTTCATCTAGGGGAGTAGGCTAAACATCATGATTCTAAACCAGCCAAGACATACAAACCAAACCTTTTTGGTTGACAGCGATTACAGCCTGGATTTGTCACTTTGGACGTTTGACCCCGTACAAAGGGCGTATGATCCGATGAACTGGATACCAGTCCCCACTCCGATGCCTTGCGAGTCAGGCTCGGGCTAGTCAAAGGCTTAGATAGCACACCTCAAGAAAATTCGCCTACCTTGACCCGGAGAATGTGGAACTATTCCACCCACAAACAAATCGAACTTTCCCTTTTATAACAATTACTATACTGTGATTCTTTTGCAATCTGGACTCACAAAAACTCACAACACATGCATATATATGTATATTATACTAAACCCCAAGACTAAAATTCAAGCGTTCTAGTGACCATGACTCACTCTAAGTGCTATTCAAAACTTGAAGATATAAAGACAGTTAACACCACAATGAATCACAACTGACTCAACAGAAGTACCTTGCAACTGGGCCCACTTGTGCCGCCGGCCTCTGCGACCGAAAACGCCACTCAAATGGTAGAGACTCAGAGCTTACTTCTGTGTATTCTATTGAATGCATAGGACCACGAGAAGTCAACCACGAGCTACCATCCTTGGCCCTTCTGTTTGGCAAATCGAGCTATCTTTTGTGACTATAGCATTACCGGTTATCCTGAGTAGACGTCCTGTCGCTGTTGTACGTCTCCTGAGCAAAGGATGCAGGAATATGGGAATCGAGTTCACAAACATGTGGGATGGCAATTGAAGGCAGGGAAACCGGCGCTTATGAATGAAAAAGGACTTACATTCAATGACAAGTGATTTTTTTTGAATACCACATACCGAGAAAGAAAACGGAAGAGATGACAGCGACTATTTATATGTACGGATGAAGAAAACATGACAATACAACGCATATTAGGGTCACACTGGATAAAGTTGAACAGCCGAGTTGGGTAAAAAAGAATTTCAGTCGTGCAACTTCAGCAGGCCGCGAATTAGCTTTTCGGTCACTTCGAAAGTTTGTTCAGTTTTCTCGTAGGCCGCTTTGGCGCGCTGATATGCAGCAAATGCGTTATTCAACTCTTCCTGTAATTGGCTAGTTTTTTGCTTCAACTTTTGACGGTATCGGAACGAAGCCTCACGGTTGGTTACCCGCCTTCGAAGTACTTGTGGATTAGCCAGCTCTTCAGTATTTTGTACATCGTCTTCAACAGTAGGCTCCCGCCGTATATTTGGTACAGGGAATGAGTCCAACTGTTGAAAAACTTCCTCGGGCTTAACAAAAGGGTTGGGTACCTAGTGAACTGCAAGGATTGAACACATCAAACCTACGTATTTGGATTCCGAATAATCCATGATTAGATCCACAACGTCATTTGGAACTTCGGAATAAAAACTGACACCTAAATTAAAATTTGTATCTGCTGGCGAGACAGAAGATAAAGAAGCTGATGAAGGTAGTGTAACAGAAAGATGTTCGTACCTTCGATGAAACTATCGGGGGATGTGCTGCCATCATCAGTGAGAAGCGGGAGGAGCGGACTGCCAGGCTCTGGCCAGTCGCTGGTGGCCAACGTTGTGTACTCGGGAGCACACAAGGCGTTGGCCCCTCCTGGAAGTGGATACACGTGGAAGTCCATAGTGAGTCAAGGGTGATGAGGGTAAAGGGGGCCATTTCGGAGAAAATTTGGGTGATTTCATCATGACACTACAAATGATATTAATCATGAGAAAATACTTACGACGCGCAACCGCAGAGGCGGTAGAAAACTTTAGACCACAGCAATGCTATTCCATGGTTAGGGCTCGACAATACACCAAAATTCACAAGTGACGCGCCAAGTGTGTATAACACAGCAAGTAAAACAAACATTTTCGTTTCAGTCCTGAATATGCCAATAATATGAAAACGAAGGTAGTTATTGTAGATTAACTTGATGTTCAGGCGTGCTGATCACCGGTTCTGCCTCGATCCTGGTAACAAAATGCCAGTCCAGTCTAGTCTAATACAGTCCTTTAAGTTCAGTTTCAGCTACAGTTTGTATCCAGGACCGTGACGGCAATTACCAGAGTGTCCAGGTTCTTGCACTGGTGAGCTCCTTGTATCCCCGGTGCTGCGACAATTGAAAAAATGAAATTCCTTTTCTTTTAGGACAGGGAAAGCAGATTCGGATGTCCCGACCTATAGACACCGATTGTACTTCGTGCGTGCAGGATCACAGTTGTTATCTGCAAGCCACTTAGGTGGCGGTCTGTCCAGCAACTGAATAATAATAGGGATGAGTCTACAAAATCCAAGGTTTGAGTGAGAGATCCAAGCACAAAATTGTTGTGGAGAGGGAGATTGGCATGATGTAGAAAGAAGAAATAGAAGAGATAATATAAGCAGCGAGAGGCCGCCAACGGTAGCATCAAGTGTAAGATCCTTTGAGTTTGGAGGGGATAAAAATTAAAAAAGAAAACGAAAAGAGTAACCTATCAGCTGAGTGCCTTCACTACGATCCCGCGCGGTGGCTCAGTCAGTCAGCTAGGCTCGACTCAAATATTTGTTCCCAAACGCCATCAAGTCGGTGTTTGAAGCTCAAAACGGACGTGGCCTCCATAACCTCCTCCGAGAGTTTGTTCTAATAGTTTACCACTCTTTCTGTAAAGAACTGTGCTCGGAGTCTGGTTCTGACACGGTTCTTCTTTAAATTGAGGCTGTCACCTCTCAAGTTTTGACGTTAATTAAGTGGCAATAGCGGTTGCCCGTTTATGCTGACAAAGCGTTTGAGGAGTTTGAAATCCTCAATGAGATCCCCTCGCTTCTCCGTTCCAGAGAGAATAGATTCAACTGATACAGTCGTTCCTCATACGCCCTCCCCCTGAGTTCAGGTAACCGCCTAGTAGACCGCCTCTGGATCTGCTCTAGCACCTTTATGTCCCTGACTAGGTAGGGTCTCCAGGCCTGCACACAATATTCTAAGTGCAGCCGGACAAATGCTTCGTACAGTCGGGGTAGTACCTCTGGTTCCCTCGAGCACACTACTCGAAGCAGGTGGTAAAGAGCCCTTAATGCGATCAAGGCAGCCATTTGGCACCGCGCCCGAGGCTGGACGTCGGATTAGACTGTCACTCTAAGGTCATTGGTGGCAACCCTAGTTGGTACATTTGTAGCACCGCTTCCCATCCATAGCTTCCGCACAGTGTGTTTGGTGCTTGCGGCCACTAAGTGGATGCATTTGTGCACGTTGAGTGGTAAATTCTACTCGGTTGCCGTTTGCTAGACCTTATGCATGTCGTTCTTCACCAATGCCTCACCGGGCGAACTTGAAGCACGGGTTCCCCAAGTTCTCATCGACGTCAGTTTGCAGTCTTCAGTTTTCAAAATTGAGAGCAGAGGGCAGGATACCCGTGTCAGCCCCATCATCATTGCATCGAAAGTCCAATCACATGTGTTCGTTCGTCATAGCCCCTTGAGGTGCTCATCTAAACGCCATTTGGAAGCAACGTCGAGTTTATCCTCCACCACGGTCGCTGTAAGGGAGTTCCAAAGCATGGTTGACCTCTGCGAGTGTCTGTGGACTAACGGAAGACCAAATTACTAAACTTTACGCAACGTGAAACATTGCCGCCGTGTGCGTTCCTCTGTCCGTAATGGTAAGTTCTGCCGAAACTTTGGGCCCATATCACCTCACAGGATCTTCCTCAAAAATATGAGATTTCCCATGAGGCGCCGACACGCAACTGGGAACATACCAGCAGCCTGTGGGCGAACTTCATAGCTGGTCTCATATAGTCCAACCACGAGTCAAGTGGCAGCACGTTGTATACGCTCCGACTTAACGGGTTCACTAGCCGTGCGGATGTATGTCCCCGCACTACCATACTCAGGTCTCGGTTGGACCTCGGAAGCGCACAGCAGTCTGAAAGCGTCCATCGTGAGAAGGCTAAAAGAGCTCCAAATAGGTCCCAGAATGCTTGACGCACTACCAAAGGCCCTATCGGTGTTTTCTTGGGTTTTTAGTGATGACGTAGTGATGATGTCACTTTAATTCCCAGGTCTATGTCAAGGCTTTGCTGAAGTTCACGATGATGTCCTTTGGCCTTTTCCTCGGTCCAGCACTCTCGGTCTAGGAGCCGGTTTGAAAGGTATGAGCGACCCGGCAGGAAACCGTGGTGTTGGTGGCACAGGTGACTAGAGCACATCAAATGCTGCAAAAGCCGTGAAATCACCAGTCGTTCCATTAATTTACCCGTAGCACTAGTAAGACTGACTGGTCGGTAGTTTCCGGGGTTACTCTTGTCTCCACTTTTGGGTATTAGTACACTGAGAGCTTCATTCCACTGCCGCTGTAAACGTACTTGTGTAAATGACACATTGAACAGGTTGCACAACGGCTTTGCAAGTTCATCTGCCAGCTCCTTCAGAATAAGCGAATGCACACCTTCAGGTCCAGGTGACTTGCGAACCTTTAACCGATTGAGCTTCAGGGCCACCTCTGCGACGGTAAATGAAATCCATTTCCGGGCAGTGTATGCGCCCGGTGGATGTGGCAATGTGCTAGAGTCTGTGGCGTAAACTGAAGCGTAATGCGATGTAAACAGCTCCGCTTTGTCCTCACCGTTATTGGATACTGTCCCGAGTCGGAAGGCCCGGATTAGCTCTGATTCTTCGCCTGAGGTAGGCATAAAATCCCTTCGGCACCTGTAAAGAACCTGCTGCGAGGCGTTCCTCGAATATGGTTCTCTTGCACTTTTTAGCGCAGCACAGCGATTCCGTGTAGCTCGATATTACTCATATCTTGTGCCCGTTGCACGGTACCTATGTTGAATCTGTTTGCGGTTGTTGATCGAGTTGTAACAAATGCTTCGGCATCAATTCTTCACGCAATCT